TCGAATTAATACTAAGTCGGATGTCTTTTAGCAATGCTATATCAAGGACGTCCGGATGTTGGTTGTTTGCAAAAGGATAGCGTGTTGGACTCTCAGGAGCGATAACATCGAAGTTAAGTCTCTCCGTGAGGTCTCTTAGAATTATTCTGTTAGGATTGTTAACGTTAGAATTCCAGCTAACGTGTTTACTATTTAGGTCTCCTGCGATTAATACGCTCGGGCCTAGGTTTAATAGATCCAATATGTCGGAATCTAATATACTTTTTAAAGGAGACAGGTATGCTGATGCAATTATTAATGGCGGATGGCCCGTAAGTGCTATCCTACAGACCGACGCTTGTAAGTTAGTAAGCGGCGGAGTATCTATCGGTACACATTGCAAGGACCTTTTGTAGTAGATCAAGGTGCCGCCTTTAGGTCCGGTCAGCCTATCATTTCTTACTAGGGTATAATTGGCTATTTTGGAATCGCTCAAACTAGGTTTCTAGAAGGTCTATTGCACCAGCATGATGTCGATATCATGGTCGCGTAAAAAATACATGATCTCTTCCTTTTGATCTCTGATACCGTTTGCGTTAAAGTACACGCCAGTCAGAGACCTAGGCTTGGTTCTACCCATAGGTCTTATTTCCATTTTGGTTATAAAAGAAAAGAGTTGCTTAGGCGCACTGGAACGAACCTATCGCTTGGATAAGACTAATATGCTCAATGGTAGCATTGAGCCTATCTTGAATAGATTTAGCTTCGCGAAGTTTGCGGGCTAGGGTTGTGACTTCGGCACATTAATGCTGCTGGCCAAGTTGAACACTAACGAAAGGTCAGTGTCGATGTTTGACGGTGCCTCAGGGGCGGGTTTGGGCTTCTGGGCCTGGCGAGGAGGCACTGGCCGTGAGGCGGCCGCGCTGACTATCGCCGGGGGTTTAACCCATGCGTTGGGCTTAGGTGCTGAAGGCACGGGAAGGCTTGGGCCTTGCCCGGAAGTCCCTTTAACGGGGGCGGGATTGGCTGTAGCCTGAGCGGGCGCAGGTTGTGGCACCGAGATTGGTGCAATCGATGGGGCATAATGCCGTGGGAGCGACCTACTGGAACTGCCCGCACGTCCGCGCCGGAATGCTCCTCCATTCTGTTTCCTACGCGGCGCTTTGGAACAACCGCGATAGCTCGCTGGGTGTCCCTCTTCGCCGCACAGAACACAGCTCGGAGGGCCCTCCGTCTCGGGATTTTGGGGGCACTCGGTAGCGCCATGATCGCCTAGGCACTTGACGCACCTAGGCCGGGCGAAATAATTCCTGGCCGAGTGACCGTATAATTGGCATCGGTGGCATTGGCCAACGATGCCCCTATTACGCGGGGACTCTACAACGATCCCCGTGAGATTGCATATTGACAGGCCTGTTGGTCTATTGGTTAGTGACCCTGACTGCTAAGCCGGAGGTCGTGGGTTCGATTCCCACCCAGGACAAATGTTTGTGTGATGAGCACGATCATTTGTTCTGTGTCTGGGTGTAATTTATCTATAATATTTATGTATTTAAAAATATATAAGTATGTTTATCAGTTGTCTAGTACCCATAACACAAGCTCTGCTTAGCTTGGGACTAGATGGCGTTGTGTGATAGTTGTGGAATATTATATTATATTATATTGTGGAATATTATATTATATTATATTATTGCATATCCGGGTGATGTTGTAAATCTCTTTGCCCTCTGGAGACAGGTCCAGTATTACAAGACAAAGATCAAGGTAACGTTTTTTGTCAGTTGGGTTTTGCGATTTAAGATCGCTTAGTGTGAACTCGGTTTCTAGCTCCTTAGGGAGTCCGCGAACTACAACACGGAGGTTACGGTCCTCCGCGAGAGAGTAAGTGTGGAAGCTCAGGTTTTGAGCTTTTAAATGCACAGTTAAAGCGCGGAAATCGTCCGTCATTGCGACGTAGATACGGATGCCCTGTGGGCCATTGTGGACTGTGGGACAGAATATCTTTTTGGAGTCTATCCACTTGGATAGGTTGCTCCAGCGCGATTTATCCTGAAGGATTATTGGAGGCGGCGGCTTCTCCTTTCTAGGTACGGCCTGAGTCGGGTTCGCGGTTTTGGTCGCGGTCGTTTTGCGCGCGGAGGGCGAGGCTTTTTTTGCCGGAGTGGCGTTAGGCGACGTAGGGGCCGAGTGAGTCTCGTCTCCCTTTTTCGCGGCGGGGCGCTTGTGCTTTTAACCCGAGACTAAGGTGAAGCCTTCGTCATCGGGTTTATCGGGTCGTTGATTTTCTATTTCCATCTCGGAGCCTGATTCGGCGTCCGAAAACAACGGAGATGGACCGCGAGTGGAGAGCGTAGAAGGCGCGGGGGACGTGGCGTTATAAACTGTGTCTATGGACACAGGGGTCGAGGGCCCGGTGCTAGGCGACATAGGGTCGTCGATACGTACAACGGGGCGTTCAGCAGTGGATACGTTGCGTTGGGCTAGGAAAGTAGCCCAAGCGTCAGGGCACACTTGACCGAAGAAGTCGGCGAGTTCGGCTATAGTAATAGCCGCCATCTTGTCAGTGGTTTAAAACACTTGTGTATCAAGTCCCCCCACCTTTCGGCGGGGGAGGTGTGTGCCTAAACGAACACTTATACAACTAGCGTATTGGTACGCTAGGGTGTGTACCTAGCTGTCACCTAATGCGACAAGCGAACACAGAAATTAAACAATAGAATTGCTGCCTCTGAGGCAGCGGGTGTGCAATAAACTACTTACAGTTTTTACTGGAAATCCGGAGAACGTGGGGCACTAACACTAGCACTACACACAACAGAACAATGGGCCGGCGGCCCGATGTACACGTGTGATGTGTGTGATGTAAAGGAGCACAACGACACTGTAGCACTCGCGCGCGCAGGTAAAATGTCTTTGTCTTTTTTCTTCGTAACAACGCACTGGGAGCGCATGGGCTTGACCGAACAACTGCACTTCACGGTTGGGTCGCAGGCGACCGAACGCGGCGAGGTACATGATCGGAGTCCGGACTCGGACTCACTGACTCACTGACTCACTACTGGACTGGACTGGACCGGACTCGGACTCAGTTCACTGCTTAAAATAGGCCGCCTCCATAAATAATCTCACAGGGGGGGGAATTTTACGAAGTTGTCATGCATGGCAAGCAGTCTTACAACTGCAGTTTTTATTTCATGTTGAGTTGTTATAATAAAGATGCTGCTACCCATTCCCTGTTTTATATTCCATTCCACATATTAAATCATAAGTGCTTACAATAAACACTATTCTTGAAGTTTATACAACTACTAGTCAAACAATTTTTTAAATGTGGCTTAAAAACTACGTGTTTTCTCCAGAAAGTAAACTTTTTCAAGAACATATTGTTATTGGTACGGTAGAACTACCACCCATTACAATCACTTCTGTTCTCTAATTATATATCGTTTCTTTGATGTTCTTTTTTTATTTTCTGATGGTGATTCTGTAATAAACAAATTTAAATTATGATAAAACTATAATCTTTATCAAAGAAAGCGGTAATTTGTTCTTTTATGTTTAGCAGATTTTGGACGGGATTGAACTTTGTAATTAACTTTCAGTTATTACGCGAGTGCACAGTGTTCTTAACTTTAGCTTAATGGAGACTATTGTTGTTTATCACCTATTTTCAATGTATATTTTATTCTTCAAATCCATTTTTTACTCAAGGAGAGGAAATATCTACCTTGTCTAGAAGATATCTTTTTCATAAATTATATTGTCATCTAGTTCTTCAAGCTCTAAGCGGTCGAATTCGACCGCGGCGCTATTCCGTCAAAATTCAAGCGGTCGAATTCGACCGCGCACACCCACAGCACTTTACACCATTCAAACTTTTATTTAGAGACTACTTTTCTGTGAAAAAGTTTGGCATTATAGAATTAATATGAAATTTTCTATGCTCTAGAGCAATAAAAAAAAGTTATGCTTTGGATATTTATTTGTAATCTACATTCATTTCGAATGCCATTTTCGCGTGAATATTATTGTGTTGATTTTTGGATTTTCCTGGTGTTTTATTAGTCTTTTAGTATAGTATTTTATTATAAAATTGTAATGAAATTATTTGTGTGAATATAATTTAGTTTTTTAAGTAAATAATTTCGAGTAGTTTAAATTGAAGTAATTTTGATTTTCATGCTGCCGACATTCGCTTGGTATGTTTTGTTTTTGTTATCAAAATACAATAGTCTTTTTGTAATGAAGTAAAACCTGACTTTTATATAGAGAATTTGTATGGATTTTATAATGCCAAACTTCTTCATAGAAAAGTAGTCTCTAAATATAAGTTTTAATGGTTTAAAGAGCTGTGGGTTGGTGCGGTCGCATGCCGTCGCTCGGGATTTGCCGTGCGCAAGCGACTGCATCGGAATTTTAAGGGACTGAGGGGCTAGACGAGCTCTTCAAAAAAGGTTGTTTTTTTTTATAGAATAACAGCGACAAATGACCACACAGCCTACCTGATTGTAAATAAATGATATCTAATTTACACATATCCTCGATTATTTAAAATTATCTTAATGTAGATACATTGTCAACTATGAGGATTAAAATAGAATGCTTCGCTACCAGTCAAAAGCGTTGCCAGTTATTCAAATTCGCCATAGGAAACACAGCAGCAATTTGATGATATTTTACGCGCATATTCTGTGACAGCATTCGTGTTAAAGCCCTAATATAGCAGCAACGTGGATCTAACATGAAAAATGTATACAAACCATTCAATTTATATTGTATGACAAAAACTTCTGTATAAATTTCTGTAATAATAACACTAGACAGATGGATTGGCAAAAACTGTTTCGATGTTCACACCTTTGACACTTTTACCGTTATTAGTAATTTTTTTATATTTTACATTTGACATATTATACGAGATGGATACACCACACCCTGTTGAAGGGCGTGAAATATTTTTTAAAATAAAATAGTAACAGGTTATCTATATTTGATAAAAGAAAATTTAAAATTTAATATTACCTGTGCCATAATATTTCTATCGACAAAATGAAAACAGCTAATAAAGCTGCTTCTGCCAGCACAGCAAATGCAGGTGCTGCCTGCCCTAATGCTAATGCACGTGGAGTGCGACCCGAGCATTCAAAGGAATAGCCGCCAACGCGATCCCGCGAAGCTTTTATGTGTCCACGCTCTTGAAGACGCATTAGACTGAAATTAAATTGTAAATTATGTTTTGTTTATATTTAATTTAAATAATACCAGTTGCTCTTAAAATAAAACCAAATTTTAACCACTCAAATTAAGCTTTGAATGCATGGGTTAAGAGTGATTCTCAACAATAGTCAACTGACGGATTTGAACTGATGAAATATTCTCAGCAAGTTTGATATTGTAAATTACTTTATAACATACGTTAAAATAAATAATATCATACATTTACTATACAATAAATTAATTAAATATAATAGTATTTATATTAACTTACAAATAACATACGTAAAAAGCTAATTATTTTTCTAGTTCAGGTTGCGACCCTATTAACAACTATACCCGATTACTACAGAATAAATAATAGTACTACGTACGGAAGTTACATTCTTTTAATATGGACAACCTGGTGGCGTTTCAATAGCCTACATATTTATCATTAATTAGATAAATCGCGCATGCAAGCTAAATAAAACTTTATCGCTGTTTTATTTTTTTATGATATTTTCCCCAACCTTTTTTTGTTTTTCTTTTTACGTTGGGAAATCCTCATGGATACCTCTTGCAGCGGGGGCAACAGAAAAGTTATGCCGTACTCTTACCAGCGAAAACTCCACGGTGGTCACCAACAGCGTATATACATATGAGGGGTCCCGGGATCTCCGTTTGGAACGCAACCAAGTCTCGCTTTGCTTTATTGGAAGCACGTCCCGAGGGCAGTTTTTTCTGCCCCTAGCACCCTTACAGTGTTATCGGAGGTAGTCCCGAGACATTGTGCTCCTCGGGGGTTACATCTCTAGGCATTCGAGGCCACCGCCACGAGCGTCTGCAACTCCAGAGGCCCCGATTCTGGTAGAAGAATACCGTTTATAAGAGTAGGGCCGTGACGAACGCCTTGGTGACGTCGTCTCCGAGCAGGATCCACCCTCTCCCGATCCCGCTTAGCGGCCTCCTTCTGGATCATAACGGATTCACAGAGGACGCCTACGGCAGGGAGAGGTTCTAAATGATCCGGCTTACCAGGACCGTTCGCTCCCGCTACCACGCTGGACATGTTGCCAGCCTATGGAATGCGAAGTCCTGGACCTAAACACCGCAGTGCTCTTTGCCCTTCGCGTCCGATCTTACATAAATAATCACCGAAGCACCCGTAACAATAGAACGGTAACAACGCGTTTGCGCGCATGACGTTCTTTACAAAGATGAGCGCGCTACGTTGCGTGAAGCCGTTCCTGCCGCTTAACTCCACCAAACACCTTATCTGGCTCACTCCCACCACTCTGGCGAAGCACACGTGTCCGGTCGTACCGTCGTACGTACGCCCTCGCATCCATATCCACCAGAATTTCAAAAGCCATGTTGCGACGGCTGCTATTCACCAGTACGATTTTGAAAAACTGCGCCACCCATCCTACAGCCCAGACCTTGCCCCAAGCAACTATTATAATTTGTTTCCAAAAATGAAAAAAGAACTGCGTGGCTAAATTTGGCGACGATGATGAAGTGATGTACATATTCTAATTTAAATGACGTTTAGATTTAACTGTTCTCGTAAATTTGTATTTTGGTGTACAATAAAGAGTAAATCTAAATGAAAATAATAATAAATATTTGCAGAAAATTATTTACGTAAACAGCGTTAACACCTTTGACATTAAAACGCCTAGAACGTGCTATCCCTGATTGCATATGTAACCCGGGGGTGCATTATAGGTAACTATTTCACACAGATAGCAAGAGTAACAGAGACCTGCAAATACTCAGAACTATTTTAATTTCGTAGTATCTTTTAAATCTACTTGCTATAATTTCTCTTATAATCAATTTTTGATTTCAATTTTTTACCAAGTGGCGGCGATAAAGTTATTGACATTTCTTATCGACAACTCCTTAATTTTGATGAATAAAATAATAAAAATTAAATTTTAGTAAATAGCTCCATAGCACAGAACATGGCTACGAGAAATGCCAAAAAGATCCTAAGAGTTCCTACAGATAGAGGTGTGATCATCATAGTTAAGCTTAGCAGTCGTTTTGTACACATGAAGTAATCAATTTTAACAATATATAACAACACTATTTTTTTGTTTCTTTTCTACATCACCTAACTAAATCATTTAATAAACGTGTGTTACAAGGCTGTGGTTGATTATATTGAACCTTGATATATACTTTCACAAAAAACATTAAACATGATGAAAAAAAGTTATCTGTAGAAAACCATTTCATTCCATTACATCCTATAAAAGTCCCCTGCTGAACATATGCCTCTCTCATAAATGTCCTCATATGGGGGCCTTTGCCGTAGTTGCCACGCTTGGTAGGCGGGCAGGCAACCAGAGGTTTTTATTACTTTGAGTTGTTATCAGGAAGATCGTGCTCTCCATCACTCATACACAATTCCTCTCTGTCATCTCTTACGACACCCGCGGGATGATGTGGTGGATATTCTTACACTGCCACTACACGATATTGAAGAATGCACTAAAAAGATTAAATATGAAATTGTACCTCCAAATAAAAAATTGTTTATATGGACTCTCTTTTTGGGCCATAATATAAACTTGAGCTGGTTGCATCATTTGCAAGGAACCCAACTTGCAAAGCTCGGTGTCATCAAAAGTCTTAGAAATGACTTGATAAGCAGTATATGGTTCAGTGTGATAAGCATAACCTGTAAGCGAATATACTTAGTTACAAAAGAATCTGAAATCAAGTTTTTAAACTTCACAATTACTGGTATCTATTTTATGAGTAAGGGTTCTAGATTCACGCATTGCCTTTGGACTAAAATTAATGAGAAAGATAGAGGTTGCATGCTAGAATATAATTCAATATTTTTTATACAATACCCGGTGCATTGCTGCCACCGAATAAATAATTGTGGGTATATTTATTGTTTAAAATTGGAAAAATTGTGTTATTTAAATTAGAAATTTTGTTATTTACATATTACATCAATGTAAGTGGTTTGATATATAACTTAAAAAATGCTGTAAGTTAATTGTACTACTTTATTGCATTTTTTGTACTACTGAGTTGTACTATGCATATAAACTTTCTACAAGTGCGAGCAATAAGTTGACAAAGTTTTACCGCTAAACAAACATAAATTGTTTACAAGTCATGCTTCTTAAATTATTTTTACATGCTTTTTAAATTATTTATGTTAAAACATAAATATTTTTCAAGATATATTTATAAGAATAATAATTTTCAAAAAATTCTCCAAAATCAGTGGTAAATCACTGGTTTTGAAGAATTCTTTGTCTTGGGAAGAACCAGATAAAAAGAGCCAAGCTGGAGGTATATTATGGTTGTAGCACGAATGGACCGACTCGAGTTTGAAGGGCCACGCTCTTTCAGAATATCAGCGTGAAATAGGAGCTTACTACTGCAGTGTTACGTATGGTGAGTGTATGTGAGATCCGGAAAACCTTTTTTTACTGGAAACGAGGCATTTCATCTTAGTCCTCAGGGGTGACAACGCATCTGCGTTTGAATTCATAATTGAGAATAAATGTAGATGTCTATGAGCCACACTTGCACTTACCATCAAATGGACTGTGTGCTCGTTTGTCACCCTTATTTTATAAAAAAGTAAACATAAAATATGTAGAAATAGCATGGATAACACATTTTTTGGAGAGAAAGACCATTCATATTTATGTTTTTGTTGAACTTTGTTGTTAAAGCGTTTACCGTAACTAACAATAACTAACCCTTAGAAGTCCATTATAATATATAAATAATTAGTTATAAAAGATATAACTAGTTTGTACCTCGTGCTTACAAAATATAAGAAGCTTTTTTATCAAAACTGTTTTAGTTTTGTGCATAATGTCTAATCTTCTTAAAAATACTGAATTAAATTTCTTTATGTTTTTCCCTAGGGATTCCTTCAGATTTTTTTCTTTTTTACATACGTTACCACCCACACTAGGATTATCTCCTGTACCGTGGAGCCAGTTTACAAACATAAATTGCACAAGGTCAATCAACCAGACCTGGAACAATTACTTGTAGGTCATATAAATACTTGCGCCGCAATTCAATGCTAAGCGCCTGAGCCGTGGAGCCGTCAAAATAGGTCATAAATAGTCAATTAAGGTTACAAATTGCTCTCATGGCTCATTTCTCGTTAGTCTATGTTGGAAAAGTAGAATGAGAGAATGTCTTATCCAAGGATAGGAGGCAGGATTATCGAGACTGTGCACTCAGTCCTCTTAGACTTGAATCCCACTTTAGCCCATCCCCACTCGTGACATTGGTACTGTAATGACTTATCGGCAATTAAAATCTATTTAAGTAAGTCAAATTTTACGCTATAAAATCCGTAGAATTATTTTTATTCTATTAAGATCACTTTTCGTTCACCTAGTCATCATTTTAAATTACTAACCACCAGTGCGCACCAGCTCTATTCCTGTATTAACTGCCTGCAACAGGGGTACGGTACGCTTTGCGTTTATAACTTTTTTGTTCCTGAGTATATCTTCTTTAGGATTTTTATATCCACTGTAGTAAAAGAACCCTGGATTCTGACATAAAAAAGAAATTAACATTATTTATGAAAAATGCGATATGATATTAATAATATGTGCCATTTGCAAGTTACATTAATCAATTAGCCATTAGTAAGAGAATGTACCATCCCATTTCATCCCGTGGGAGTCGTAAGATAAAAGGCAAACAGGGAAATGAACCAGGGTATAAATAGTATTATACTCCTGATAATAACTCAAAATAATTTACAAAAACTGCGCTTGCCAATCCGCCTCTCAAACATGATAGCTATGGTAAATATGGTGGAATATTTACCATAGATTTCATGTTTGAGTATTAGGTAATCTACAGGAGAGGCCTATTGCTCAGCATTGGACTTTAGACAGATAATATAATGATAATTGTATAAAAATTATAACATAATGGATGAATGAATGAATGATAATGAAATAAAAAATATCTGTTTTATGACAGTTTTATCGACATTTGATTATAAAAATTGCATGGAAACTTTAGATAAACGCGAAACAACTAAATACAATGAATGCAAAAATAAACACATTGATAAATACCATAAATTAACAACTAAATCAAATGTCCAACATACGAAATCGTTGACCACAGACACGAATCATAAACAACGCGCTGTCTACAACTTATCAAAACAAACACTGGACGAAGCCACAATAAAAATTTTAGAAAAAGGTATTAATTTCGCAATAACACCGCGAAAAATACCGTATGAGGACATTATCTGTAGTGTTGAGGACTGTCTGTATAAAAATAATATTGGTAATGAAGATTTAGAGGCTATACGTCAAGACATCTCGTCTATGTTACGTCGAAGTTCAGCGCCGAAATTAAATCTTCCCAAAAAGGAATTTAACGCGTTGAAAAACTTACGCAACAGAATAGAGCTTACGATTCTCCGCGCAGATTAAGGTAATTCTATGGTTATAATGGATACGTCAGACCACAATTTTAAAATACAACAACTTTTGTCGGATGAAACTACTTATCGAAAGGTCAAAACAGACCCTACAACTAATACGCTTAAAACAACTAGCGATCTAATTAAGAAATACTCCGAAAAATTGAATCTGGACGTTAATTCGATAATACCTTCATGTGCCAAACCACCGAAGTTGTACGGGTTACCAAAGATACACAAACCGAATGCTCCATTACGTCCAATAGTGAGTCAGATTGATTCGCCAACTTACAGATTGGCTCAATACTTAGCTAAAATATTATCACCATTTAGAGGACACACAAGAGCACACACTAAGGATTCATACCATTTTGTCAGTGAGATAAAAGACCTACATCTTACTGACAATGAAACCATGGTCAGTTTTGATGTCCAGTCTCTATTTACATGCCTACCTGTTGAAGACTGCATCTCAATTATAACTAGGAAACTAGAGGAAAATAACATGCCAGCAGAATATGCAGTATTACTAAGACATTGCCTTACATCTGGCTATCTATTGTGGAAGGAAGAGTTTTACAAGCAAGTAGATGGTGTTGCGATGGGCTCACCTGTATCTCCCATTGTCGCCGATATATTCATGGAAAACTTTGAGGAGAAAGCCCTCCTTACTGCACCTGTTACACCAAGGATCTACAATCGGTACGTAGACGATACTTTCACAATTTTACCATCGGACAAAGTAACTGCATTTTTAGAACATCTTAATTCCATAAACTCTAAAATTCAATTTACTATGGAGTTAGAGGCAAATAATTCCTTACCTTTCCTAGATGTGCTAGTCATCCGAAATCCTAATAACACCATTGGTCACACTGTGTATAGGAAAAGGACCCATACAAACCGATATTTAAACGGTGAATCTCACCACCATCCTTCACAGTTAGCTACCGTGGGCAAATCTTTGTTACAGAGAGCACGAGGGATCTGTGACAGCAAACACCTGGCCGCCGAGCTTCAGCACGTCAAGCAAGTTCTGCAGGACAACAAGCTTCGGGTCCCTAGCCTACGTCACAGTGACCGAGTGAAGCCGGCCACAGTCGAGCGTGTGCCTGCTGTACTACCATATGTCAGAGGTGTCACAGACAAGATTGGCTATATCTTGAAGCGAGCTTCTATTAGAACATTCTACAAGCCGCCGAAGAAGATTAGTCAGTTCCTACATCCTTCAAGTGTCATATTCCTCTACAAGATGCAGGAGTGTACAAGCTTGATTGTGAATGTGACTCTCTTATGTAGGACAAACAAAAATATCAATTAGGACCCGCGTAAAAGAACATATAGCTGATGTGAAGCATCAACGTTCCGGGAAGTCTGCAGTTTGTGATCATATCCTAGACGGACCCAACCATTACATCAGATTTGATAGACCACAAATCCTCGCGAAAGAACACCGATTCCTACCAAGGATGATACGTGAGGCTATTGAAATTAAAAAACATCCTAGTTTCAATAGAGAAGGAGGCTGGGTACTACCACCTGCTTGGGATCCTATAATCTATAAAATTAAAACTAAACCCAAGCATACCACTGCAAGACCTCAGACATAGTCAGTTCATTTTGCATAGATCGGACCATAAACAATAATTAAAAAAGCTGAAGGTACTCCGGGCTTAACAATGACATCGGGACGTCAGTCATCTCAGTCCCCCGTGACCATGGGTGCTGGAAAGCGCCCGAAACGTCGGGAATTAAAAATAAAAGTAAATAAAAAGTAAAAATAAACGCGATAAAATCCGTAAAAGTAGTTTTAATCATAAACATATCTGATTATTATGTTTTCTATATAATACGAGTAGTTACTTTGTCTAAACTCGTTCAAACAATGGGAGAATAAATTACATTGGCATGAATAATTGCCATATTTTACAAACTTTCAAGAGGTAGAGTATAATATTACGCTGAGTATAACAGCTGTAGTACGAATGGGATGGGCAGAATAGGGAAGACCCTGTGTTTCGTATGTTAAGTGAGACGAGATCAGGACACCCATTTTGATAACGAGATATTCCATGCAAATACTCACAGGTAAAAACGTTTCCACCTTTGAATCTCAACCGAAGATAACTAACGTCAGTGTCTGTAGGCCACAATATTCAATTACCATCACGTAGACTTTGCGAATTTTTGTAACGATTTCTTCTTTAAATTAAAAAAAAAACAATAACTCCGATGTCAGCTTTTTGTAGCATCATATCAAAACGTTTTTACTAACCTCAAGCCATCCCCTTGTGTATCCAATATCCTCAAATACAAGTTCCAAATCGCTACTCATCAATGCATCCAAATTATGAAGAGTTGGAGCAGCAGCATTCAGAAGCCATGAAACTACACTGCTGGTGTAGTAGTTATAAAGTAGCATACTGGTTAATCCTACCACAAGGAGAATAACTCGTCGGCCTATATAAAGCAAGCGTGTGAATAAAAAGAAAAATAAATAAAAACAGGTAAGAGGAAAATTTACAAAAAGTTTAAAAAGATACACAACCTTGACTTGAAAAAGTTGATTGTATTACTTGAACTCCATCTTCATATTCTGAAACAAAATGACCCAAAAATCACAAAGTTAAAATTATTATAAATAGTAAAATAATTAATAGAATCGGACGTTAATTTACCACGTGCGCGGTGAACGAAAACATCGTGAGGGAACCTGCAGGTCAGAGAAAAAAGAAAAGTCAGGCTGACATTTTCGTGCGGGCACGAAATGCAGCCGCCTACCTGGGTTTGAAACCATCTCAGAATTGAGAGTAGACATGATGTGTCCAGCAGTGGAATGCATTTAGGCTGTAACTAACTTTTAATAAATGTAATTAAATTGCATCCACGATACACTAGAAAATTTTAGTGTAGTAACATAAAAAAGTAAAAAGGAACTAATTTAATATACCTTGTTGGCATGTTGTAGCGAAAACACTAAAGAAAGCATAGGAATGAGGTTCGGGCCGCTTTTCTATTTTCGCAGCAATGGCTAGTATAATGACGCATGCTATGCCGACAACGCATGAGCACCACCACACACTTGGAGACATTGGTGTCAAAAAACGATTTTCATAGTCTCCAACTCCTTTCTCAGGGATTAGATAGTAAAATTTAGTCCTGTTGGAAATAAGTATGTGCTTGAGAATTAAAAATAACGAATTTATTAAGAAACATATTTTTTTAATAAAACTATGCAATGTAAGATAACAAGAACCTAGTCTTACAATTATAATTATATAGGGTGATGGTGTATTCTCAATTTTTATAGATAGTCATTAATAGTGATGATGTTACTCACTCGAGTGTTGTAACCGCAGGAAAGAATATATCCACCCAGTTAAGCCATTTTGGAAAAATTCTTGCACATGTACATGATATATCTTGTTCACCCCAATATAAAGAATTTGTCACGGCCTGATATATAAAATATAAAAATAACATTAGCTTGTAAACAACATATATTAATTAGGTACTTCTTTTAGTACAAAATACTTTACACAATTTCTAGACACGGTCTTATTTTCTTAACTATTAAAAGTCAGTCCCTGTCTACTAACCCACCTGATGAGTAAGAGACCATGAGGCCGACGGAAATAAAGCGCCGTACCGCCTTACCGTAGCACCTTAGCATGACTAAGCTTTAAGAAAAGTCTTTTTACCCTTGCGCTGAAAAAAGTTACATTGCCTTTGGTTGGAAAGATTCTCAAATTCACTAGCAAGTTATTATACGCGTAGCAAGCGTATTCCTGCCATGGTCAACAATGGATCGGCGATTCGTGCTGGCTCTACCACTTAGAAATCTACTATTAGCGTGAATCATTATATTTTATTATGTAACGTTAATTTTTGTTTCTAAATTACAAAAATAATTAAATTCATTTGGATAAGAATATAAGTAGCCCTTTTGTCTCCATCGGTGAAGACAAGCCGAGGATATAGTTCCTGAAAATTCACCATGTAGCCCATACAAAGCCATTGGCACAAATATAAAGTAATCACTAAGAGATGTTTCAGCCACCCAGTGTTTAAACTTACTGCGTAAATGCGTATATTACGACAATATATCCATGATTTTGGTTCTAAATTTATTTTTTCCTTTATATGTGTAAATAATAAAATGTTATTTACCAGAGTAGAGTTCCTTTCAGGTGAACCAATCCAGCGTCCAACTATTGTATAGTTAAATCTGAAGAAATAGAAATAACGTAATGATTTCTTAATTTCACGCGAACAAAACCCATTGAATAAAAGTATGTGTAGATATTATCGCGTTTAATTAACTTATCTTTATTTCCTGAACCTTTGGGTGCTTTATAGCGACCTATTTTTTGTTTTTGAATATAATAGATAATAATTTTTGGTTAAATCTACGCAGAACGAGCTTACAGTATCGTGATGTCTTGCAGTGGTGTGCTTGGGTTTGGATTTATTTTTTTAATTATAGGATCCCAAGTACATCATCAACATAGCAGAACACATCCATCTTTTCCATTAAAATTAGGATGTTTTTTGATTTCAGTAGCCTCACGTATCATACTTGGTGTTCTTTTGTGAGGATTTGTGGACTGTCAAATCTGCAGACTTCCTTAAGCGTCGGTGCTTTACGCCGGCTATATATTACATATAAGGAATGGAAATTAAAAAAAAAGTTAATTAAATGGGATAAAATCCCTAAATATATTTTTATTCAAGTAATATAATATCTAATGTATGGTAAAAATAATTTTGTGCTCAATTACATGTTCTCATATTGAAAAGGAACCAGACAAACGTTAACTAAGAAACAGAAGGGAGGAATCGAGGCTTCTCTCGATTCGGCCTCCTATAACGCCTACGTTGGGTTCGGGAACTACGTATGTGATCTCCGCAACGGAGTAACACACAAGGGCGATAACCTCTTCCTTTTCAGAAAATAGGTTCAGGCGGGGATTACGGGTCTTCCGAAGTCGTCCGCGTCCCAACGCCTTAATTCTTCGATATGGACTCTATTATTTTGAGGGAAGAATTCCTTGGGAATAAAACAGCAATTATCTTCAAACCGTTCCGTGAGAGAGTAATTACTTTTCCCTATCACTTCCCTACACTTTTTCTTTCTTCTTCTTATTGACTGCTGGTCTTGCACTTTTCCCGAAGTTTCTCCGAACTTCCCCGAACTTTCCCGAAGGATTCCCGAACTTTCCCGAAGGATTCCCGAACTTTCCCGAACGAATTGCAAACGTCGTTGTTGTCCTCTGCAGGGCATAGTGCCGTGCAGGTCTCGGGCCTCGGGGTGTACCCCTTTACCCGGATGTTCCTCACGGCACACTACAGTGTGCCGATCCTGGGCGCCTTGATGGTAAAGGCGTTGTATTTAGCGACTTTTGTCGCGGTCGGTTAAATTGTAATATAGGGTGGTTGTCTAAATAATTGTGTTTAAAACAATTATTATGTCAAAGTTGGCCTTTCTGCGGCATTGTGGGGTTTACTCGACTCCCTAATCTATATAGGGAGGAGTTCTCTTGGATAGGGTCGCCCGTCCGGCGGCCGTGAGTGCAACGGCGCGAAGCCGTTGAGGTGTTCGTGTGGCCCGTTGTCGGCGCGGTCAAACATACCGCGCGCCAGCCGGACCACGAATTCTTGCAGGCTCTCTATCTTTAGGTTGGCCGCTATGACGTCATTACGGACGTAGCGACCCGCACCGACTATAGTTCGTAATGACAAACTCTGCTGGGCTTGAAGTCGCCGCTTCTGATGATCGCTCAGGAGTGCATACCAGGCCGGAGCAGCGTATGTTAGCAGGGGTCTTATGTAGGTTTTATAAATGGTTAACTTCGACTTTGTCGGTAACTTAGATGTCAGGACAGGGTGGAGCATTGCCCGCGCACATCGAGCTTTGCGTATAGCAGAGTCGACGTGCGCAGTCATACACAACATCCTGTCAATCCGACATCCAAGGTAGGTCACGGCCTTCTCATATGCGATCTCCTGGCCTCCGAGGGTTAGCGGTGGTGGTAGGTTCCTATAGCGGCGAGTGAGTAGAGCGGTCGTCTTGCTAACATTGACGGCCATCCTCCACTCATCCAACCATGGTGGCAGCAGGTCCAGCAGATGTTGCATCCTGGCAGCTGCGATGTGGGCTCTTCTGGACGACGTGAAGTATGCGCTGTCGTCCGCAAAAAGCGCTAGTTCGACGTCGTCCTCCCATTCGTGCAAGTGTCCTGCCAGGGTAGGAATGTCATTAGTGTACGCCGCGTACAGGGCTGGAGACAGACAACTGCCCTGTGGCACACCAGATGTTATGGTTTTTATTGCAGACTCGGCGTCCTCTACGCAGACGTAGAACTTCCTGCCTTTCAGGAAAGACGCCACTAGCCGCAATATAGCAGGAGGGATACTTGTTTGTTTGTCTAACTTGTATCCCGTGTGCCACACCCGGTCGAACGCCTTCTCGATATCGAGAAAGACGCCCAACGATATGCGGCCACGGTTGTGTTCGGCCGCAAGTAGGTGCAGCACTCTGGTCAGCTGTGTTGCTGTAGAGTGACCCCTCCTGAATCCATGTTGCTCCGCCCGAAGTTGGATGCACGGTTGGAGACGTCTCAACAGTAATCTTTCGCACAGTTTAGCTATATGCGGTAGCAGCGTGATCGGCCTGTAATTGGCAGCTCTACGCCTGTCCTTCCCGGGTTTCGGCAAGACGATGACTTTGCCTTTCTTCCAGTCCTCCGGGAAGTGGGATGTCCGCAATATTCCTCATAATTTCTACAAGGACTCTATTGGGCAGCTGTCGTAGTGCAGCGTTGGTAATCCCGTCGTGCCCTGGTGCCTTCCTCGGTTGCAGGCGGGTTACTGTCCTCCGCAGTTCGGCGGGGGAGATAAACCACTCTCCTGCAAGCGGTGGCGCGGGCGACGACAGGAGCTCCTGCACGCGGCTCTCTTTCCGTGTATGGGTTTCCAGGAACTCCGCACTTGCTGGGTTCGGCATAAACTGCTCCTCGAAGTGCTCAGCTAGGATATCCGCTCTGCCCTTGGCATCGTAACGTTGAATGCCCGCGTTGTTGGTCAGCGGGCAAACAGGTGGTAGAGTTTTCGTTAACTGCCGGTTCAATGTGTAGAGCAACGCGTGCTGTTCGTCAGCCTTCCATATGCGCCGCTCCCAGGCCTCTCCTCTGTGGGCCTGTATTGCAACCGACAGTTCGTCTGATAAGGTGTTAAGTTTTCTTTTTACTCTAGGGCAGCGAGTACGCGCCCAGAGCTTCCTCAGCGCTCTTTTATGTTTGAGCTGCACGCGTAGTCTTAGCGGCAGCTCCTCTTTCTCCCCGTGAGAGAGACGATCGTAGAGGCCGCGTTGAGGGCCTCCTGGATGCACGTGGATATTCTAGTTGCAGCGGCCTCTACGTCGTCCGCTGAGTTGATCTGTGTATGGACTGGAGGTCTCTCCTGCAGGTGTTGGTGGTAGAGCCTCTAGTCGATCTTGATCTTGACGGCTCTAGGCGGTGAAGTCACTGCCTTAGTGCCAAGGGTTATCAGAATCGGGAGGTGCTGTGTATTCAAGTCATATAGCACTTCTGCCACTACTGGGTAGTTGACGTTCCTAGTGAGCACGATGTCTAATATATCCGGACGCTTCCTATAGTCGCTAGGAATGTGCGTCGGTTCCTCGGGACCTAGAACGTCATAATCATGGTTTTCAGCATCTTCATAGAGTTCACTCTGGACCCCCATGCCGGGTGTTTGGCGTTCAGGTCTCCGGCGATGATGGTGGGTGCCGTACCTTCCATTACCGTCCGGATGTTTGAGGAGAGAAATGGAGTCCCTGGCGGGCGGTATGCTGCAAAGATCCTTAGTTCCTCGCCCGCCGCCTCCATTTTTATGCCGATTGAACGCATCGTCTGGAAGTCTGGCAGGTCCAGCTCCTGGTGGACGATGTCTCTCCTCACCAGGATCGCTGTCCCTCTATAAATGACCCTTTGAGGATCGACCTCGTCCCTCCTGTATATGGTGTAATTGGGCAGCTTAAGATGCGTTGTAGGTCGTAACTTGGTTTCACCCAGCAAGATCACCTAGATGTCCTGTCGCTGGGTGACAGTGCGGAGTTCGTGGATCCTTTGACGAATCCCGTCCGGGTTCCAGTAAAGCAGACGCAGGTTGCTATCCTCCATAGTACCATGCCAGTAGTGATGCCAGCGCCTTCATGACGGCGGTAACGGGGGGTGTGTACCGACTTCGATGGCTATGCCTACCAATTTGTGGATGGCATCAGCTGTCTCGAAGTCGGACGCTGGTGGTCTGCGTTCTGAACTACGCTGTGAAGGCACTGGTCTCGGGGCATTGATTGAGGTCTTCCTTTGGGTAGAGCGCGCTCTGTGTGTGGAGCGGGCTCTACTTTCTGGTAGAGCCCTTTCTGGCGCTCTACCTGTCGTGGTTGGTGCTGGTGTTCTTACAGCAACCTGCGCCTGCGAGGCTATTGGTCCTGTGGTTGTGGGGGTAGAGGTAGTCACAGCCTGAGGAGGAGGCTGTTCCGTTCTCCTGCTCCTATTCCTCCGCCTCTTCCTCTGGGAGGGTTGCCTCTCAGTGGCGTCATTGGCAGGAGGTCGGAGAGTCGCCCCGGTGGTTGCCCTTTGGTCTGTGGGACCCACGTGAGCTAACCTGGACGGGTTGGTGGTTTGTACCGGGGATGATCTTCCGGCTGATGCAGCTAGGGTTGCATATGTTGTTGAGCCCCAGCTGTAGGACTCCTCACCTTCTTGCTCGAATTGGGCCGAGTCGTGGCTACGTCGGTCCGCAAAGATGGATGGTTTTTTTTTTTTTTATAGAAGAGGGGGCAAACGAGCATGTGGCTCACCTGATGTTAAGTGACTACCGCCGCACATGATCAACTGCAACACCAGGGGAATTGCAGACGCGTTGCCGGCCCTTTAGAACGGAGTAAGCTCTTTTCTTGAAGGTCCCCAGGTCGTATCGGTCCGGAAAAATCGCTGGTGGTAAATTATTCCACAGAGAGGTTGTACGCGGAAGAAAACTCCTTTTGAAACGTACAGTGGTGGACCGCCAAGCATCCAGATGGTGTGGATGGTATCGGGACGTTTGCCGCGTAGTGCGTTCACGAAATTTGGCTGTTGCGGTGGTGATGGCGACTTAGGAGGTGAGGTGTGAACCTTCTTCCTAGTCGCTATTTGGGGCTCCTCATCATCCGATGACGCTGAT